GTGGGCCAACTATCCCTGTCACATGACAGTGTTAATTAACCTACCTGAAGTGCAGTACAAACACAGCTACCCAAATTTTGGTTCAGAGGGCATCCTGTCCAGACAGTGTGGCTTTCTTGAGGATGCTGCTGCTGGGGATGGTAAGTTCACTATGTAGAAAGCAGAGAATTTGCACCTTATAAAGTCCACTATGTAGGCATGGCCTCAGTATTCACAGACCTGAGTTATATTTGTATAGACTAAAGCAGTCTATCAACCTTTTTCTGGATTTAAGGCACCCCTGGTTGGTTTCAAAGCACCCTGCAGAAAATGCCAGCTCTTAGTTTTCGTTCTGTTTTTGACTACAAAACAATAGTAGAGCAATTCTTCTGTTGCAAATAATTCAGAAAGACCATAGCAGAGCAGAATGTTTTTAGCATATATGGATTCCTACTTGAAATCTTAGGGCACGTCCAGATGAGCCGAGTTCTCCAGCATGTCTGGAGTTCTTTGCGCTGGAAGGGCATGCTGCCCCGGATATCCAGAGGTAAAAAAAAAACCGTGGAAAACCCCCCCAAAGTAGCGCATGCTTGGGCAGCATGCACTGCTAAGAGGCGGAGCAAGGCTGCTGGGAGCTGTGTTGTGGCTGCCAGTTAGGCTCCGGCTGCAGCTCCGGGAGGTCCCCAGGACCTCAGGTAAGGCTGCTGGGGCTGGTCCAGTGCTGGCCCCAGCCTCCCCTATGCCACCCAGGGCAACTTGCTGCACTGTTGCCAAATTACAAAAATTTGGCAACAGTGGTGGAAATAGGAGGGAGCAACGCACACTAAAAGTTATATTCATAAACAACACATAATATGAAGCACAAACCTGTCTCCTCCTATCTTTAGCAGTGTAAGCAGAAAGCACCTGGAGGCTCATACATACATGGCTTTCTGGTGCTTTCTTTGTATGAGTCAATTTAAACATAAAATTTTCTCATCCTCTGTTTCTTTTGTTAGGCAATGCTTTGTCTGAGCCTAACAAGATAACTGTGATGTTGTTCCTCAGGGATCCATATTGACTGAGCCAATGGAGGGCAGCACTGCTCAAGGGCACTACAACATTCAGAGAAAATCTGTATCCTATATGCCAAGGACAAATCTGCCCACGGAAAACAATATGGAGCAGGCCCTTTTCTGCAAAAGCAACATTACCTTGGTTTGCCAATCCTTTCAGCTCTTTCCCATTGGAACAGGTCAGGAAAAATATTCAGATGCATCCTAACAGCAGTCATAAATTTCATAGACTATGAAGGACTTCTTCCAGAGGAGCAAAAAGCCCTGTCTCACTGGGTAAAAAGGGAGTGTTTTCTAGTTAAGTGAATGTGACACAACTGAAATACCCCATTTAAAGGCATCCAGACATGCCTGGAGTCATGTGTTGTAGTCTGGAGGGGAGCCAAAGGTGCAATATGGACAGCTAACACAGCTTCATAGGATGTTCACTTAACATGACTGAAAAACCTGTAAAAAACCTCACTTTTCTGACCACCAAGATATAGTTTAGATGAGAGTGCAAGTTAAGATACAAATCAATGATTTCCTGGGTCTCAGTGAACTTGTGCTTCTCTTGAGCTTATGTATATACTTATTTGAGAGACCATGCCAAATAATTAGTCTTTGAACATAGTCTTTGTTCAGGGTCACAAGGATGTTGCCTGGGTAAGGCTCTGGCTTAAGACTTGGGGTTCCTGGCTTCAGTTCTTGGCTCTGCCACAGATGCTGTTTGTGACCCTAGGCAAGTCACTTAATTACTCTGAGTTCCTGATTTGGAAGAAATAAGAAAATAATACTTCCAGGCTATTTTGGTTTTGGGGGTTGTTTTTTTTTTGAAGGAATAATTTCTTACTGTGTATTTGTACAGGACCAAGCACAATGGGCCCTGATTTTAGTTGCTACAGTAATACAATTAATAATGACAGTACTGATTATGATGATAAGGACTACAAGGAAAGAATGGTACTGGTCAGAAACGAGATATTAAGGTGATTGCATGCAAAACGTTGCACAGTGTTTAATCTTTATTTTGCAGGGGCTAGCCTGCTCATGAGCCTGTAAGTCACACTGAAGACTCTGTGCCTCTCCTTGGCTCTAATAAATAGTTGCTGGAATTGGATGTTTACTACTAAACAGCTGACACTATTTAAGATTTATTTGGCCCTCACCAAAGATCTGAGCAGTGGCAACTTTGTGCTGCTTCAGTGCTTATGTGACATCAAAACTGGCTGGGGTTCAATTCCAATAAAATGGAGCTTCTCATTAGCAGAAAATACAATTGATCAATTCCTCTCTCTCTCACACACACACACGCACATATACGTGCACCAGATAAATAAAAACACTGACAATTCATACCTTGCCCAGAAATGAATCATTCTGAACTCTCACCTTTCCTTCAAGTCACATTTAATATGATGGTGACGATTTTTACCATTTGAGAAGCACTGCCGCGCTGAAATCTTTTCTTTCTTCCTTCATTAATGTCTGTGTCACCTCAAGGGTTGTTATAATTCTTTATTGGCTGTTCTTCCAGAATGTGCTTTAAGAAAACTTTAGCTGGTCGAGAATGCTGCTGCAAGGTTACCTAGCAATATAAAATGTCATGAACATGCTGGATATATATTCCTTCTGCTCCTCTGCCACTAAGCCAGCTTCTCATAAAGTTTGAAACTGATATTAATATTTAACTTTTAACTCACAAGATCTTTCATGGTCTCAGCTCTGCTTAATTAGCTGACATTTAGCTCCCTCTATTCCATAGCACACACCTAAGGTTCCTTGGGTACCAGTTTATTAACATTCCCCAAAGTAGCGAGAAGCGGCGGTTACCAGATTCTTTATCAGTGGATCCTGAAGGCAATGGAATTTATTGTTGAATGCCATTAGACCAGCCAATTCGGTAAATATGTTTAAAGGCATGAAGTCATCCTTATGTTTCAAAGTGTTTTGGTCTGTTTAAATAAGCTTTGTGAATTGGTCTCTCTCTCTTTTTTAATAAGGACCCTTGTTGAGATGCTCCTCAAGAAAGGTGCCGAATTAACTTCTACCATATTAAGCATAGTTCTGCTGTTAATAAACACTCTTAGATGACTACAAGATGCTGCAATACTTCTGCACGTAGATATGATTCCCATGAAAGCCTTGGAGTATAGCTACTCCATCTTACATTTATTTTCCACCTCCTATGCTCTTTCCTTGCTGAATCCCCCTCCCCCTCTACCTTTTATATGATCTCAGCAGGTGGTTGATTAGACAATATCAGGTGTACGCCATCTTTAAATTTACACTTTGCCCACAATAGAGAACCATATCAAGATAATGTGATCATTTCCCCTCTCCTGCACTCTCCTAACCTCCTGGGAGACGCTTGTCTATTCCCCCTGCCATGGCCTGACTGAAAGCCATGATTCTGAATGCTGCCTGCCTTACCTGGCTCAGGGAGGTAATTCAAGTAATCTTGCCCTACATATAGCTGGATTTACCTTTGCCAGCAGCACATAAATGTAAGAGTAATTATTAGAGACTAACATAACTTAAGATATCTATCAACGGAATAATATTAGTACTAATTACCTACTTAAGCTACCATAACGAAATATGCTGTGTTATGGATGTGTATGATATAATTGCAAAGCATTTCATACAGTTTACTACGTAAGTGCTATTAATATTTCATACATTTGGATTTATGGAAAATTAATGTATATTAGAAATAACACACAAGCTAATACTTTGCTCGTGATATTTTGACAAAACAGCTTCTTATGTCAATACAATACAAAATACTGCTGACTAATATGCATTTTCCAAAAACTGTATTTTGATGAAGCTATCACATGTGTGAGCAAATGTCAGACCATGGAAACAAATATGAATAGAAAATATGACTAGTTATTGAACAATCTTGTTTTTAGGGCTTATCTTAGTAAATAAAGTATTGATCTTTCCCATTTGGGACCTTGGTTCAATTCCACTTTTCATTCCTAAGTGAAATGAATTTAGTGGCCTCAGCTCATTCCTACTAATCCACATTAAAAATAAAATCTGTCACAGCACATTTGTTCTTTGCCTTGTAGACTTGACAGAATAGGGGGGAAAAAACACCCAAACCAAAACAAAACAAACTAAGAAAAGCAAAAACTTAATTTCAGCAGTGTCATCATTGCTGTTTGGTTTAAGCCGACACTGCTCCATCCCAAGTCAACAGAACTAGCCCCGCTGCCACCAGCCAAGCACCTGACCTTGGATTCTTACAAACCATCTTCATGCTTTTGCTGACCTGAGCAGCAGGTAAATTGCACCTTCCCTGACACCTTTGCAGCCCCTGGACTTCATTACGGCAGGACGAGAGAAGACTGTGGCACAAGATCAAGATATTTTTCATTTCTTTTTTTCCCTGAGTTTTGGAAGGCCCATACATTTGAAAAGCAAAAGGCTATCAGAGCTGGAAGCCAAACTTTCTATATATAGTAATTACAGTGAATTACCTTTTATTGGTAACTAAGAGGTAATATTTTAGTTGACACTCAGCTACCATAGTAAGCATATATATAACTGCTTGAGCCTATACTGATGGGCTCAAATACAGCTCGGATGACTTTATAGTCTGCTAATTTATAAAAGATAACATTTATAATTTAGAAAGGATGCAGCTTTATTAGATACGACATTTCTCAGTGAACAATAAATTAGTGTGCGCTACAGAGAAGCTCAAAGATTTTTAAGGGCATTATGATACTAAAATGATAATTTGCTTTACCGTCTTTTCCAGGGTGTCTACACTGAGTCTCGGGTGTGGTCTAACACTGCGTCATTGCAGTAACACTGACATAAACCTGCTTTGATGCAGTAGTGAATTTGGTCCATGTTTAATCACCAATGCGATAAGGAATAAATATGATAGTCTTCCAATATTGTCTGCACTTTGAAATCCAAAAAAAGACTGCGCACATATGTAGAAAAAAGACTGTGCACATATGTAGAGATATTCTCATGATAACAGTTTAATATTGAAGGCCCATATTCTGGCATTGCATTCTAACTTCAGCAGAAATAGCACTGACCTCAGTGGCTGTACACATGGATTGAGGACAGCACATAACCCTGGATGCAAAGAAACCAGCAGACAGGTAGTCAGAATTTTCTTCATATCCTGTACACAGCAGTATCATGAAAGATTCCCAGAGCTTATCCAGCAAAGTATAAGACAGTATCAATATTTTAAAGGGGCACTTAAAAAAACATATCTGTCTGAAAATATTTACTGACTACTGCTACAGATAACATAAAAGATTACTAGAAATGAAAAAGGGTTGAAGGATATATTCTTCTTTCTATCCACTTAGGTGTTTACTCTGGGTGTTTGAGAGCATTTTGTTTGTACACAGTTGCCTTGTTTCCCTGGAAGTTGGTTACTTTTCTCTGATGTGGTTATAGATCCTTCCTATGGTAACAGGGGAGAGAAAATACATTTTTAAAAAATAAATACAAAATAAGATAAAGAAATTGTGATATGATACCCTATACCAATGTCAGGATCAGTCAGTTGTATTAATTGAATCCACCTTTGTCTGTTTTCTTAATTGACTAGATTTCAGGTTGACTGTGTCCTTTTATTGTAACATATTCATAGACTAAAAACATTATAAACTTTGGACTAAATTCTACCCAAATCAACAAAATCGGGCAACATGAAAGCAAGAGAGGAATCTCATATTTTCAATTTACTTTCACATTCAAACAAAGATAAGGAGACTTTTTCTTGCTATATGTATCTAAGTAAAGCCAACAGAAAACTCATCTGTTCATAATTCACAGTCAAAGCATTTGGAAAGCAACCCGTTTTTTTCAGATCACTACTGAACTCCTCAGCTTGGTAAAAGCTGATCAGTTTTGCACTTTCAATGACTAATGAAATACATATGTAGTTTAAAGTTTTTAAAATAGTTTTAAAGTTAATGTACCATTTCTTTGTTCTACATGGAATATTAATACGTATGTTTATAGTTCAGGTATATTACTGAAAACTGAGGAAAATGTTCTTTCGCTATGGAAGATATTTTCCATTCTACCTAGTACAATTGCTTTGCTCCTTTCAAATTGTAACATATTCTAAACTGTTCTATAATACTGAATTGGCAAAAGGAGATTTCAAAAAATATTCCACATTAGAGAAACAACAAAACAACTTCTACAAATATTAAGGACCCTACAACAAAACCCTATGAAATAAACTTGCCGGTTCAGATGTCCAGCAGAGGTAAACTGGCATTGCTATGTTGGCTTCAGTGACGCTCTGACAATTTACATTAGCTAAGAATTCTGCGCCATGGCTTAAGTACTTGATTTTCTAAATTAAAACATTTATAAATAATTTTAGGAGACATTTGTTCATACTTACCCAGATACGTTTTAGTCATTATGCATAATACTGAACGTCTGTTTATATATTCATAGGTCAGTCAATTTGCAACAAATTTTTAAGAACTCTTTTTAGATTAAAACAATCTTATTTTTTCGTCTAAACATTTCACTGATTTTTTATAATGTTTTGGATGTGCTATCCTGATTACCTACCAATTCCAACTAAGCAATACAAGTCTTTCACAATACTGAGACGCAGCCAAAATTCTTATATTTCATGCTATGGAGCATACTCCACACAACTCCAGTTACATCTGTGCGTGTTCTGTACAAAGAATGAGTGCAAAATACACCTATGTATATTTAATAATCACAGACAAACTCCTTTTAGCAGGCTTTTTCTAGAAAATGAACATTGTTGATAGCTAGACTACTAATATATTTAATAGCTACTCTTTATGAAAAAAATTATAAACTACTGAGAAAAACTTTCTGCTATTAAATAAATAGTTTGCCCTAAAAGCAAATGGCCAGATATACCTTACCCATGTAAAATATGGGATGGACATTTTGGTATTTCTGCATTAATAGTTTCTGTTAAAGAAAGTCATTGCACTAACTATTATTGCTATTTAAGATACTGTTTTGTTATAACTGTTGATTGCAGACTTCATGAACATTTACAGCATGGCTCAACAGTGCTCTGATACACGATAAAATATTTCTCTATTCAACGTTTTGTTGTGCATAAGTTCCAAAATTTGCATGGAAATGTTATGGGAAAGGTGCTTCAAAGAAACTATACAAACTTCATTAAGTTATATAATTTATAAAAGAATAAATGTTTGGAAGTTTTCCACTTTCATCAATAGGGGGGAAAGAAGGCTAGCAAATACTCTAAACTATTTTGAAAGTAGTCAAAAATACATAGGGATCAACCATTCGTTAAAACAAAGGAGAGAAGCACAGTAGCACTAATGAGTTTACTAAAATGGCTTCTGTTAAGCAGGAATTCTTAACAGTCAAAGAGTAAATTCTTTTACAACCAGACTTTGAATTTGTGAAAATCAGCACAAATGTTATGAGTATCTTGGGATATCATAAATGTTACCTATAGACACAAGAGTGAATATGAATTCCCTGTTAAACCAGGGGTCCTCACAAAACCATGCAGACCTTAGCTTAAATATTTGAAAAGTAAACCATCCAAAGTAATAAGGAGCCCATGAACATTTAAAAATGTAACAATAATAAAAAATATAGAAGCCTTTACAGGGGCAAGAAAGACAGAACATCAATATTTGATTACACAGGAAGAATATTTGTGATTGTCTTCTTACTTTACTCTGTAATCTAAGTAGTTTATCATTTCTATGGCTCAATGTAAGTAGCAGGTTCTTCGCAAAGACCTAAGGAAAAAAACGTAGCTCATTACTAATGATTTGCATGGGTACATGTTGTTAAATGTATATAAATTTTAAAGTAAAGGTATAATTTACTAATGAGAAGAATAGTTAAGGTTTTTGAGGAACACCTCCACCACTGAAGCTTCCAGGATTAAAATTACTTAGTATCTTAAAATACTTTCTACCCAAATAACTAGTGGCAAGTGTTGAAGCATAATGCTTGAATACCCAGATGGTCTTTTTTCCTGGCCGCTGATTATGCATTCAACAGAACAACCAGACCTTTAAAAAAATACCATAATGTACCATAACACTTCCCATCTTTGAATCTTAAATTCAGATTTGTTTAGCTAAAGCAGTTTAGGGACTAGATCCCCCCTTAAATAATATGAATAAATAAGATTTGTGCAGTAAGGTGTGATGTGACATCCTAGTAAAACATTTAAAACTCTACAAAATTATCTAAGGGCTCTTTTTAATTGAATCATTATCCCATTAAGAGCTATTCAATGCAGATTATTTAATTATTATCCATCACAAAAAGTCACACACAGAGTTTACACAAAAATACATATTAAAACCCTCTGAAGTCAGGACGTGGCCAGTGCCAAGTGCACTTGCACAAACAGATTCGTCTTTTCCTCAGATACTTCCTCGTTCTTACTGCCACAGTCGGAGCTACACGTGGATCTCACATGGTAGAACGGGGCCCATTAAAGGTACATTCTGGAATATTACCAGTAGTGCAAAATATTCCATATATGCAATTTGGTAAATTCTGGTTAGTGTGATATTTGACACTGCTGTTGCTCGACTTCATAGTGTTTAACTGTAACTTGAACGTTACATTCAAAATAAGATTTTCTTTAATAAACTGACTTTTTTAAAAGAAGGGGGTCGTGGCCCGAATTCTGTCACGACATTTGGAGGCATGGACCCTTCCAACCCTCTAAAGTCTCACCAAATTGTGACCCAACACAGCCCATTACAGGAGAGGGGCTGACTGCGCTAATCTCTGGGTTTACTCTGTACCTCCGCATCTACGGAGTGAAAGACGTATGAAATGATAGCACTCTACAGGAGAATGGACATGTAGACCACATACAACCTACCTGACATCTTTCTTTTATCCCATAATCTTGTAGATGGTATCATATATATTAAACTTTTTGGAAATGTAACATGCTGCACATATAGAAAACATGTAGTTAGTTGCTTATGACTGTTACATCTTTTAGTTTTAGTAAATGATCCTGGAGAGCAGTCCTTGGTGGGGACTAGCCACCTGGAAAGTATCAACTTGCAAAACATAGCTGTGTGTGTTAGACATGTGCAGAAAAAAGGCTTATACATCTATTTACAGTAGAAGGCATTTTTTCAGTCTTGCACAACAAAAAAAAATTGGCAACTAGCCTAAGCTCAAACTTTCAAAATAAGCAAATAAGTAACCGTATGACTCAAGTCACCTTTGGGATGAGACCAAGATGGGGATATTTTAGCCAAAAGAATAATTTTTCAGAGTTATGAGCATGTAAAGAGTAATAGGAGTCTCAGTGTTACTTTAATTATAGCTTTCACTGTTAGCAAAAGATACAATATTGTATTGTTTTCCAGTGACAAATCAACTGGCACTAGTCTATACATTAATATAATCCTTTGCTGGCTGGTTTCTTCCGTCTTATTGGTCTAAATGAATTTCTATCATAACTCCACATACAGAATATGACTGAGATACCAGTGACATGTCAGTGTTGCACAATTATATCTTTGTAAAACAAAAAGTCCAGAAATAAAAAATGAAAACTTTTATCCAGCATCTAGTTGTATCTAGACTTAAACCAACACTTTATGTTTTCATTGGTCAAACTGGAAATTTGAACTCCTTGTTTAAAGCCAAAAAGATAGTAGCCTGTTTGAGATGTAACTCCTAGATTTTTGACAGGTAAAAAATTGTAGATACAAAGGTGTAAATCAGCAGTTTAGGACTCCAGTTAAATAAAGAGACTATCTACGTGATCAAAGAATACATGACAGTAACCCATTCTGTCCTTGGAAATATCAGTCTGATCATTAAAAAAAAACTTCACTGAAGTTTCCCAGTCTTTTAATCAAACAAGAAACATGACTATTGTAAATGCACATGTACAGTCTGAAGGAATGTTGCAACTTAAGCACAGAACTAAACATGTCTTGTGGGTAGAGCTTCTTTTTAAAATGTGCATGGGACTCCCATTAGTGTCACCTTTCTTCACAGAAAGGACACGAAACTCTTTAATATTTTACTTTAGTATACTACAAAAGGGACCTATTTGCTCAAAACAATACTAGAAAGCTTGTCACAGGTCACAAGCGTAAGTCAAATTCAGATATTTTTCTTTGTGAAACAGAATTAAATTAAATTAAGTGAACAAAACCTATAACTATTTTAATTTTACTTTAAGATAAAATTGTTAGCGCTAAAATCAGAAATTGTCCCATGGCAAGTCTTTATATATGGTCATTTGGGCCAGTTAATATGGTAATTTTGACAGAAGTATTATATGGTATTTTGAATTCATATGTACAACTATGAATAAAGAGCCAATAGGTGACAGTAGGATGATAAGTCTATAGTATCGCTTTAGTTTAACATAGTAATGACATTTTACAATGTTAAGATAGATAAGAATTGATAGTATGGCTTTAAAGTTTAAGAGCTGTGTTCTTTTGTAAGATACGTACAAATCCACAATCCCTGCATGTATCTTCACACAATTTCAGCAAATCACAGTTTCCATTACCACAGAGTTTGATGCCAAATTCCATGGAAAAATCCAAGCAGATTTTTTTGCTTCCATTCAGATATCGCAATGTTATCCATGCTATATTAATTAGGGAGACTTTTTCCTCTACATTTTTCATTGCAGTTCACTACATCTCTTTTTATTCCCTACTACGGATTGTTATATTTAGTTGTTAAAGTTGAGCAGAGTGGGGGGTTTTTAAGTCATTTATCTTATATTATGTTTATCTTTCACACAATTATTTTGTTACTTGTAAAGTGAGATGATGTATAGAACGGTAGATTAATTTATATAACTGCATTTCTTCGCTAGATACTAGGATTTTTTATCAATGACTATTATCATTGTAGGTTCTCGAGTCTGAAACTACAAACATTTACATTGTTTTCTGTATTAAATGACACCATATTCATCTGTATCAACTCCTGGTTAGAGGAAAGAATACTCAAGTTTCTTTCTTTTGCAAAGCATTTTTTTGTATTTCTTCAGGTAGGCAGGACCCAGCCCTGTTCACCCCCTACACATAAGCAGTCTTACCTACCTCAGTGGGGATACTCATGTGAGTAAGACTGGGACACAAATATAAAAATCTTTTCTGCTGTAAATTATTGAAGTGACAATGTCTTAAGAAATGCATCCAAAATAGGGGTAAATAAGTAAGTTTAAACCCAATAAAATAATTTAAAAAACAAAAGTGACTTTTTTAGAGTGTCATATTCAGGAAAGTGTTTTCAATAGCTGGGGATTCAGCATAAATTTTAGCATAACTTTGACTAGTATTTTTACAGTATTATCAAATGGGCTAAAAACAGCAGACTATTTTACAACAGGATTCCAGGGAATTAGCCAATGAGGTGAAGAAACCTACCCAACTCCTAATTTGTTTATAAGAAAAATGAATTCAGCTGATGATTATTTTTCTACATTATCCTATACATATCTTTACTTTTCATCTATGAATGGCCAGAGAACCTTTTCTTTAAAAAGTACAGCCTAAAAAATAATACCATGCATCTTGGAGAAGTACTAGTGTTTTGAGAATTATTAATGCTAGTCTCTTCATCTACAATATTAATGAGATCAAATTTAGCTCAGTAACTACATCTAAAGCTATAAAAGAAAATCAAAACTTTCTGCATAGCTGACAAAGAAAACTTGAGCCTGTAGAATAGATTTCCAGTCTCCTAGACTGTACTTCTTTGCAGATGTTACAGGATATTCTGACACAAGCAAACATAGATAGATAGATAGATACTCATTTCTATAAACTTCTAACAAGTCGACTTCTACCAATGTTAGTAGTCTTTCTGTATGTGCTTCTTACAGTGCAAATAATAAAAACTCGAAACCTCCAAAAGCACATACCAATATTATAAGTATTGATTCTAAGATCAATATTTTCATGCATATTCTATCACTAAGGAGAGCACTTCCAAAAGGGATGGTCCAACTTTATTTATAATCCTACAGTGCTAAGCACATTAGATGATGGGCTTCTTGGATTTAAAAATGGTTCTATAAAATAAAATCACATTGGAAAAGAATCCAATGTATATAAAAGGTATTCATATTTTAAATTTAAAAAAATCAAATTGCATTTATACAGGATTTTCTTTTGCCACTGATTCAAGTTTTTAAAAAATAGTCAATTTGAGAGCAATACAGTTTGTATGAGAAAGCAAATGTATTTAGATACATTTTCTTTTCTAATAGACTATAGTGTTCCTGCAGTTTTAAGCAGAACTTCTTGCTGATGTCAATAAAGAGTCTTAGCTAGTTTATGGCCCGGTGTTTTTAAGCTATATATTTATTGCTCCTACTTTTCTTTGCAGGCTAGAACTAACTCCTGAAGTCCAAAAAACTTTTGTGTTGTATTGCAGAAGGGTTTTTTCCATTCCTTGCTACAGGATGGCAAAGCAAACACAGAGTAAAAAGAGTGCTGAGCACATTCCATTAGGAGGAAAACACTGCACTGGATATGGAGCGCTACAATTATGTTACGTTAAAATGTGTGAAAAAATTAAAAACAGACATTAAAATCTTTTAAAAGAACCAGTTTTTTGAAAAGTTGTGCAATGTCATTGCTTATTCAGCTACCAAACGCTTCTCCTCCAAAGTGGTTTGTTGCACCAAAGCAGTACACTAGGTTTAAAAAAAATGCTGTAGAGAGAGCACATGTTACATCAGACACAGTACCTGATTTTTCACTGCACAGCTTGTCAGCTAGATAGTCTGCCTCCTGGGCGATAAGTGAGAATATTTCATCTTCATACGCTTCTACGATACTTTCACACTAGAAAAATAAAAAAATGAAAAATATGTACTGTGCCTTTCTACTGCTGTTAAAAATAAACAAGCCTGCTAACCCCAAACTGTAGCAATACAGTCGAAAGTACCACCTTGTTTTCATTTGCACTTCCTGTTTTATACAACAAAATGATGAGTGTAATTTTTCAGAGAATTGCCAATGCAAGATATTGAGGTTTAACTCAAGGCCAGCCTGGCTGTCTTTCCAAAAATACATTCCCAGGGTAAGAAATCACTTAAAGATCATATTTTACTCACTTTGGAAAGAACAGCTTTCAACAGAAGGTACTAGAGTCATGGAATTGTTGCTTGAAATTTCCATCAACTAACCCTCTATTTTGTGTTATTACATTAGTTTTTACAACGTGCAAATAAATGAAGCTCTGTGACCAAACTAATGCATCTTTGGTTTTGCAAAAGACACCACGATTGACAGTTATATACCAAATTATATACTCAGCATTTTAAAAGCTATTGGTAATTCACTTTAATGATACAAAATGGATTTTTGACATCTTGAACATGATTCAGTGCTGCTGGTGAGGCACAGTGCCGGTGGACTGTACCTAAAGAAAGGTTGTGCACTGAAGTACTGCCTTAACTACAATATCTTTGGGGAATCTTGAGCGCAGATTAGGAAGGACGTATTCTCCCCAAAACATCAGACTACAGGTTAATTACTAAACAATTAGGAGAAATCCCATTAACTGGATTGCAATTAAAAGAAAATGCACTAAGGAAAAATCTGATTTAAATATGGAAGTTATAAAATCCACAACAAAAATATATATTTTATCTTTCTCTAAAAATTAGAATGTGCCACATCAATGGTAAAATTAAGCTGCTTTATGTCAACATTTTGCAGTGCTCAGTTACTCTAAAACTGAGCTATTTTCTTTACTTTTTGTGAAAATTAAAGCCACTTCATGTACACATGGCTTTACTTCATGGGTTTGCTAGTCTCATGATACTACTTTTGTGGTAAGCTGAATATTGAACTGTATGTAAAATCAGATCTAGCAAACCACTGTCCATTTCATTGTTTTATGCACCCCTTTCTATACAGTGTGTTTCCTGAAGTTAGGAAGATGTTTAATGCATACACAAAGCATATTTATGAAGGAAAAAATGGCATTAAGCCAGCTACCACACTTCAGCATTTTTAACTCAGCTCTGTTAGCATTCTTGAGCTAGCTCAGAGAAATCTGTCTCTACTCAGCAAGGCCTAAGAAAAAAGATGACACCATCTTCCATAATCTGGCTATAAATATCTGAAACTACATTAGTATTAATTTGGGTTTTTACCCAACCCCACAATTCACTTATTTCCTGCACAGAAAACACTCATTTATATTTAATCACTTTTAAAAATTCCCCAAGTAAAACATAGTTAGAACTGTTCTAGTTTGGGAAATTTGTAGCAGGTAAACAGAAGCATACAGCATAGTCCATGGTTAACTTTTGCAACTAAAGTGTCATCTTGAAATGTTTTATTCATATTTATGAAACCCTCAGCAGATCCAGATAGAGTTCTAAATAACATTAACACACAATGCAAACTGCATTATTACCTTTCAAAACACTTAAGTTGATGCACAAGCCAATACAGAGCATATTAACATATATTAATATTATTAAAACAATGTGTTATATTCCCAACTTTAGTACTTGAAGTCTTTTGTCATATACTAATAACATTTTAACAGTTAAAAATAAATTGTTACCAGTGTGTTATGTTGGCTTACCGCAAACTTCAAAGCTTTGTAAGCATCAGAATAAAAATAGATTTTTTAAAAATCTGCAGAGATTTTCTCATCTTTCCTAGGAGCAAATCTCTTGAATGTCCTTTTCTGGGCTTGAGGGTCCACTTGCAGTTGGTTACCATTCAATCTATCACATATATTTTCCAACAATTCTGTTGAGAAGGTCTCTGACTTTGCCAAAGGAACCTATTAGGGGAAAAATAATTTTTTTCCTTATTATAAATAAAACCGAAAACACCTTTAAGAGATTGTGTTGGACAGACATATCACAGACAGAAAGAGAAAAAGAACAAGTGCATGTTTCTTAATCTGCATAATTGTTGACATATATTCTATTACATACATAATTAAAAATGTCAGCTAAAGCTAAGGTGACACTTTGAAAAATTAAACATTTAAAGCTCCCATAAAACATCCCTTTTATGCTGAAACAATTGTAGAATGCAGTTACCATATTTTAATTTGCAAACATATTGCCATTCAAAAAAGACATACAACACGCAGGAGATAAACAGACTACAGTTGATATTCTCTCGACAAAAGCATGCAGGATTTCTTGCTTGAGTCACTTAGTTTCTTTAGTTGAAGCAGAGTTGTAGAAAGTCTTGCTTTCAGTTGGTCTGTCTTAGTTGCTGTTCGTCAACTCAGATGCAGCTGTTTAATACCTCCCAGGGGTTTTGTGAAGAAAATAATAGCTTACAAAATTTAACTTCTCCCAGGTTCTACTATTTCAGCTTTATTTTCGAACAGCTGGTCCATGTCTTTGTCCATTCCCTTTCCTTCAGAATTAAGCAAGAATTCAGCAGAAACATTTAGACACTACCTACATACTTAGTGAGAGTCTCAACAGCTAGTGCTCCAGGGGTCAAAGAGCACCCCTCGCCCTTGGTAACCGGGACAAAAAACTTCTCTCCCGTCTAGACAGGTCAAGGTGCAAGATGCTCCTATCCCTGTTGCTTCTTCCGGAAGGGGGCGTGAACTGAAGCCAAGTGCACAGTAAACAACAGTGCTGCATCCTTAGGCCTTTAGAAGATTTTTCTCTCCACCCTCTGCTGATCAAAGTAGGAAGTTTTCATGACAACCATAGTCAAAGGGACTGAATCACAAATGAACTCGATTTCTGCTATGTTGATATATCCAGTCTCCATTGTCTCTTTTCAGACACAGTATGAACCCTTCCGGTCTCAATGATTACATTACAGAAGCACTTTCACATATGTGCTTCATTTACACAAAGGGTTTTCTTGCTTCACCACCATCTGGCCACAAATCAGATAAATAAAGGCAGGAGAATTAAAATTAAAGCCTAGAGGTTTTTTTTGCCTTCTTAAACTAGGCCCTATTATGAAATCCTTCCCTCCCCCAACTTCATCCTAGATGTGGAATCTACTTTTTATGAAACCTGGGAAAAGCAAAAAAGGGCATGAGTCGAACAATGCATATGTGGGAGGAGAGAAGACTTAAATGTTTAGTCAAAAATGTATATTTGTAGAGTTGAGCAGCCTATATTACAGTAAGGATGGCTTTAGATAAACTGCATTTTGCTTGGAAAATTATTCTTTTCAGTGGGACATTCACTTTTAAAAGCAAGCGTTTCTGATAATGCAAAAAATCCAACATGGCACCTATATATGGTCTGACTACTTCCCTCCAAGTACCCTAATATGCAAAAAAAGTATTTGATATCTGAGTGTACAGATTTAAAAAAGGATTAATCCCAGTACCAAGGACAAGGATTTGACATAATACATCAAACTCATCCCTGGCACAACTTCTATTAAGTTCAGTGGAGTTACATAAGGGATGTATTTGACCCTATGAGCTTGCAATAGCAATAAGCTATAGTTTATAATTCACACCACCCAACACACACATATACCTCCTTCTAAACCTACTTACATGACAATAAAACAAGCCAGCTTACTCATAGGGGGATTTTTAATGGGTACAATAAATACATTTCTTTACAGAGAGAAGAAAGACCTATAGTGTTTTCTTAACACACACAAGGCTGTATATTTTCACTTCTGGAAAAGATTTCTCTGTTTATATTCCAACTGTTATTCAAATATTCAGTCACATACTAACTTGCTCTCCCCCATCCCCCACCTCCTCCCGATAGTATTCTGTCCAATCAGAAAAGCTAAGAGTGGCTTAGCAAGGGTATACATCACATGAGTGGCAATATAAGAACGCAGAGTGAACTGTGTGAAACTTTCTGCACAAACAACAATTAGGGTACTATGATATGCTGAAAACCAACCACCTGCACATTAGGACATACTTCTGAAATATTCCTTTGGAAAAAAAATCAAACTTCCCAATGCATGTAACTACAGTTCTATGAAAGGAGTTTTGCCATATGCATTTACTTTTATATTAATACACAAGTATTTTCTCACATTTTCCCCACCCTTTTATACCTACACATTGATTTATATACAATGTATCATGTATTTTGCTGTATTCACAAAAGGAAGCATATATAGGTGCCATGTTGGATTTTTTTTTGCATTTTTAATCATTCTTGAGATAATGGTATGTTCCCTCCTTATATTTTAGAAAAAATCATTTTAGAGACAGCATATACAGAAAGAAGATCAATTAAATTATAGCTGTGAGACTTTTGCTTCAAAACTACTGCCTTTAATTTTTTTCAATTTAATAAAAAATTATACCTGAAGTGTGACCTCTAAATAACTTTATCTTTCATTTAACTATTAGTTTGTTCAAGATCAAATTCACACTCCCTACTAACTATAGGGAGTTGATTTGGTTTTTACACACATGAGATATCTATATAATCAGCATTTTTCTGGTCTTTTACAGAGTGTATTTTATTAGAAGAAACTTTTAATAGAACTTTAAAATTTAAACAAAAAATATTTTAAACATGCAGTTCCCCAAATGTTAGAAGTGCTCTTTTTAAAAGTGTTTTAATAGTAAAAGAGCAATAAGTATTTAGACAAGTGGTGGAAAACTAAAGCCTTTCTTTCTATACTGTGAAGATTTTGAATAGTACTTGTCAATAAAGCAACTCCTATTGTAATTGTACCGGAGACATGGGCCTCCACCCCGAAAAAGCTGTCTCAGAGATACTAACCTCATTAAAATATGAATGAAAAAGCAGCCATCATTGTAATGGAGAAAACCATTTACCCTGAACTAAACTTTATCTGCTATCTTTTGTAGAAATATAAATATGATACCCAGTGGATTTTCCATTGTGCATATTGATGACCAAATGAATGATATATTTTCTTTTAGAAAATAAATCACAAACTCTGATCATTCTAAAATATTTCTTTTTCAGTGAAGTATTCAAAATCTATTGATCATTCACACCATTTGAAATATTTAAAAAGGGATCCATATTTTCTGAAAGTTCAAGTACATTTTTTTCTTTGTTTTTGTTTTTTCCCCCAGCATATGTTGGCCAATTTTAAAATACAAAAAGAGAATTCATTACAGACCAATATGACAACACCTTAATAACAGCCAATTACAGGATGTTCACATGCCTGTTCATTACTATGTCTCTGTTAATCTAGTCATAAATTCCTTGTTTGATAGATACCACAACAAGCCAGGAATACAATTGCATTATGGTAGGTGATGAGATATATGAAAAGATAACTGTAACATATAGGCATTTTCAAAAAAAGCCAAACTGTCAATCAAATACCATTGTCCATGTTTGGTCATATTTTCAAGATATAAAGAGTGCCAGAACTGATCAAATGTGTGGCTTCATGTTTTACTGGAAACTTGTTACAGGGAATTTTTTAACAAGTCCTTTAAAATGTTTCATGTATTTTAATCACTATCTTTTCATCCACAGAAGTGTTCAAATCATTTTTATATTAGTTAAAAGTCAATATTTAGAAGTGAAAATTCAAACCTCCTTTGCTCTAGGCTAAAACAGGAGAAACATGAATGCAGAGCAACTCTAAAGGCTGATGGGATATATAATTAGCTATTATGTTAATTGAATCCACTGTGAGTTTGTTGTATGAGATTTCTTCATATAATATGCAAATAGCTTCTAAGGTTTAGTTTTATTAGACAATATAATTAGAAATCTTCTAAAGGAGTGAATTCTAATGAGGCATAATAAAGGTTTGCAAAATATGTGTTTGCTCTGTGAGCAGACCATCTGGGCTTAATCAATAATAGGGACCTTACTGTGTAACAGCACACTGAAAAGAAAGTTCAAGAATTTACCTTCCTAGTGCTAGTCAGACAAAAAATAAATACTTTCAAAGCAGGAGAATTGACACGATTAAGGCAAGAGGTGAAATGCTTCCAACTGGATGGGAGGTAGTAACTTTTCAACAGACAATCTGAATATTGTTTATTTCAAAATAATAAAAGAAAATCAGTCATCTGCTATGATGTCAATTGTGTGGATTAGGATACACTCTAAGTGAAATGCTACATGAGCAAAGATAGCCATTATTATTACTATTAAAGACGTGATTCAAGCAGATGTACATACTTTAGCTTCTGTAGTGTAACTAATCAGCGTAACTTCACTTTCAGTGAGATATCCCAACATTTTAATACGTGGAATTAAGAACTCTCTTATAAAGGAAGAAATTCACACCACGGTATTCCAGAGCTGGTCACAAATGCCACACTTGTATTCCACTTTATTTAAGACCACCACCAAAGCTTAAACTATTTTAGTGAATGCCAGAATGCCTGAAATGCATAGTTTCTTGTCTAATTCGAGTTGTTCACACTTTAAACAGTGCCAAAAATGTATTGTTCAACACTTTAACCCTAATTGAACATAATCATCGTAACATGCTCCACACTACTCTGTTATCCAAGGACGAGTACATTTAAGAATAATCTCTTGCAACATATTAAGAAAAAAAAGCAGAAACATAATGGAAGCTGCAGGTTAAAGCAAAGAAAAAGAAACATCAGCACAAGTACACTGCCAGTTCAGTTCAGTCAAAAGGATGTGTCCTTTTGCAGTGGAATGTAGAAGAGGATTTCAAACCATAATTAAGTGACTTGCTTCTCGATTGCATGTATTTGGAAAATGCTTGATTTTATTGTTCTGTATTAAAATGCCAGTGCCCATAAACTGAAAAATGCCTGGAATACTAGAAAAAAGTTTCTCCTTCAAAACAGAGGCAGAATTATGCATATGATTGTATAAACTTATCAGACCCACTTATATAGCTGATACGAACATAAGCCTGTAATGATGGCTAATTAACACTTTTCTAATCCAGTCACTTAAAACCTGCAGTAGCTAGTGTTTCTTTCTTTGAATAATGTGAAGGTCTTACCACGCCAGGGAAGGATGACATTGTACACATTCCTTCTTCAGCTGAAAATTCAGTTTGCCCAGTGTATTCATTTTCCTAAGTTTGCTCTAAACCACTAAGATGTTGCTTCACATCTCTAAGGGGTATACAAAAACTGCCCAATATACTGGAAGTAATAGAGAGGCAAACCATCCCTTTGAATGGCAAACTCTATTTATACTGTAGCTGTCACTGTATCCTTAAAATTTAAACACTTATTTAAAAGAATGATGACCTAGTAAGGTGCAGCCTGAGAAATTATAAACAAGCCCTGGAATATGGGTGTTCGGTAGTGTTGGGGGGGTGTTACCTGTTCAGTTTTTTCTAGTCTCCACTGCCAATCCCCGTAGAGAACAAATCCATGATCATTCTGCTTAGCATTAATTAAACCATTCTGTTAATTAGAATCAAGGTATTCAGTGCAACATGCAAATAAAGGGCCATATTAACTCCTTCCATTGCACAGCAAGGAGGGAATCAATCCCACCCAACTACTGA